TTTTCCCTCCTGAAACTGCTGAATCTGAGACTAACGGACTCATGCAGTAACATCCACACAGGGGCAGCTGGAATCATGAAGAGGCGTGCCCAGGTTGAACACCCACACTCTCAAAAACCGGTTTCTCATTCAGCCCCAGCAGCTCACTGGTAGGAAGAAGGTCAAGAATGACAGCTTCCCGACACTACAGTTGATTAAAGTACTTCTTTTTTTTTAGACAGGGTCTCACTCTGTTGCCCAGGCTGGAGTGCAGTGGCGCATGTTGTCTCACTGCAACCTTCGCCTCCTGGGTTCAAGCGATTCTCCTGCCTCAGCCTCCTGAGTAACTGGGATTACAGGCACATGCCACCACGCCTGGCTAATTTTTGCATTTTTAGTAGAGATGGGGTTTCGCCATGTTGGTCAGGCTGGTCTCGAACTCCCGATCTCAGGTGGTCCACCCGTCTTGGCCTCCCAAAGTGCTGGGATTATAGGCGTGACTCATGGCACCCAGCCTTAAAAGTACTTTTTAAAATAGCTTTTTACGATTACTAAATTCCAGATGTTGCATTGCTAAACACCCACTGTGGGCAGTGGGGAGCCCCCAAAGGCTGCTTCCTGGGGTCAGGGTCAGGGGTGAGCAGGGGACAACTTGGGCTGCCTGTGCCTAGTGGTACACATGCCTCAGCAGGTGGTCCTGACACTGACTTATTTTTATTAGGTGAAAAGTGAAATGGGCCAACATTACACAATACCACAATACTAAGGAACATGTGACCACAGCCAGTGTCTCCAGGGGGTGGATACACACTGGCCGTGTCCTCTCTGAGCAGTTTCCCTCAGCCCACAGGACTTGGGGCTTGTTCGGGTGCAGGGTCCCCACTTGTCCAGCTCACCATACCAATGCTGAAGCACCAGCAGGGAGTGCTGCCAGGGAGTTGAGGGCAAATTTGCTTAAAACCAGTTCCCTGCTAACAAGAAACTTGTGTGTCTGGTTCCCCAGGAAAGCCTAACCATTGTGTTTCAATTTCCATAGCACCTGCTCCCCACAATTTAAATAAGGAACAGATAAGATAGGTCATCAAATATTCACACACCCCTGAGAGGCATCTGAGGTGGGCAGGAAGCCAGCGGCATCACAGCCCAGCATCTGGCCCCAGCGGGGAGGATGACCTGGCACTGGGTGTTGGAGACCCACACGGGTGGATCACGTGGAGGCTGTCAGCAGCATCAGTCTGCTGGGGGATGGGGACAAAGAGGGGTCTGCTTGGCTGGGGGATTAAGTATACTTGGGGGTGAAGGAGGTGGGAGATGGATTACACAAGCAAAAGTACTGAGGACAAGAGGAGCAGGCTCTCACTGTTAGAGAAAGGAGTCACAAACCTGGAAAGAGAGAAAAACAGTGGGAACCCTGTGGAAAAACTAGAATTAAAGATATTGGAATGGGCCAGGTGCAGTGGCTCACGCATGTAATCCCGGCCCTTTGGGAGGCCAAGGTGGGAGGATTGCTTGAGCCCAGGAGGTTGAGGCTGCAATGAGCTGTGACTTCACCATTGCATTCCAGCCTGGTGACAGCATGAGACCCTGTCTCAAAAATAAAAATAAGCTGGGCACGGTGGCTCACATCTGTAATCCCAGCACTTTGGGAGGCTGAGGCGGGCGGGTCACTTGAGGTCAGGAGTTTGAGATGAGTCTGGCCAACATGATGAAACCCTGTCTCTACTAAAAATACAAAATTAGCCAGGCGTGGTGGTGCACACCATAATCCCAGCTACTCGGAGGCTGAGGCAGGAGAAATGCTTGAACCTGGGAGGCTGAGATTGCACCACTGCACTCCAGGCTGGGCAAGAGAGTGAGAATGAATGAATGAAAGAAAGAAAGGGCCGGGCGCGGTGGCTCAAGCCTGTAATCCCAGCACTTTGGGAGGCCGAGACGGGCGGATCACGAGGTCAGGAGATCGAGACCATCCTGGCTAACACGGTGAAACCCCGTCTCTACTAAAAATACAAAAAACTAGCCGGGCGAGGTGGCGGGCGCCTGTAGTCCCAGCTACTCCGGAGGCTGAGGCAGGAGAATGGCGTAAACCCGGGAGGCGGAGCTTGCAGTGAGCTGAGATCCGGCCACTGCACTCCAGCCCGGGCTACAGAGCAAGACTCCGTCTCAAAAAAAAAAAAAAAAAAAAAAAAAGAAAGAAAGAAAGAATGAATGAATGAATAAACAAAAATAAAGATATTGTAATGAACGCATGGTTTTTAACATATACAGACATACGAGAACAGATGTGAATGTGTGCGCATGTGTGTGTGTGTACACACACATCTGTAATAACCCACAAATATTCCTTAGCTCTGTGTCCTAAGAGTGTCCAAGGGCAGCAACACCCCAATAGCAATGAGCACATCAAGGGCCAAGATTTACTCTGAAAGGAATCAGGCCTCCTTAGAGGATTGGGTGAAGCAGGCAGAGGCAGAACAGAATACAAGCCTGGTTGGGCACAGTGGCTCACGCACGTAATCCCAGCATTTTGGGAGGCCAGGAGTTTGAGACGAACCTGGGCAACATGACAAAATCCTCTCTTTACAAAAAATACAAAAATTAGCTGGGCAAGTTGGCTCGCACCTGTAGTCCCAGCTACTTGGGAGGATGGAATGGGAGGATCACCCACCCAAGAGGCTGAAGTGGGCCGAGATTATGTCACTGCCTTCCAGCCTGGGTGACAGAGTGAGACCCTGTCTCCAAAAAAAAAAAAAAAAAAAAAAAATTCCAGGTGTGGTGGCTCACGCCTGTAATCCCAGCACTTTGAGAGGCAGAGGCAGGCAGATCACCTGAGGTCAGGAGTTCAAGACCAGCCTGCTAACATGGTGAAACCCCATCTCTAATAAAAAATACAAAAAATTAGCTGGGTGTGGTGGCGGGCACCTGTAATCCCAGCTACTCGGGAGGCTGAGGCAGGAGAATCACTTGAACCCAGGAGGCGGAGTTTGCAGTGAACCAAGATCACGCCATTGCACACCAGCCTGGGCAACAAGAGTGAAACTCCATCTCAAAAAAATAAAAATAAAAATAAATTCACACTGGTGAGGGTTAGGGACATCATGTCCTTATAACATTTAGGTGAAACTTAAATGTAGATTTAAATTTGAATTTCTCCTTTAGTTACCACATCCCTCTGACAGCTGGGCAGGAGACATGCTTACATATATGAATTCACACAGTCCTCAACAGTCCTCAGTAACCACGAGCTAAGTATTATTATTGCCCCCAAATCAGAGGAGGGCCAGGAACAGAGAAAGGTTCAGCCAAGGACCAGGGTCATGCAGCCAGAGGTGGAGGCAGGATCCCGACCCTCTTGCTGTTCTCAATCACTGTATATGTCAAGTACACATCAATCTTGCACTAAAACAGCGTTCAGAAAGAAACACACTTTTGTACAACATATACACTTTCCAGAAGCCTCTGCATATATGAAGTGCTATGCTCCGAAGTGACACACAAAATTCAAATAATTGACCTCAAGAGACCAACTCACCCGAAGAAATCAAGTGACTGTGCAGACGACCATTGATTTAAATACCTTATTTGGTGGCCCCACTTGTAAGCTATTTTCAAATTGTTATTAACCTTGACCAAGTGATCAAGGTCAATGGTAGCAGTGGCAGGACATATTGACAGCATGTTTTCCCCGACACAAGGTGCCGAGGACACACACATCACCTCTGTGGAACTCTGGCCACAAACTCACAACTTCGGTCCAATCTAGAGGAAACGTCAGACAAACCGCACTGACAGATGTTCTACAAAATGACCGAGCACTTCTCCTTAAAATGGTCAACGTCGCTCATGGATGACAAAGTCACAGATCGCAGGAGACCAAAGAGACACGATGACTCAAAACAATGTGAGGTTCAGGGCAGAAAAGGGCATCAGGGCAAAAACTGGGGAACTCCAAATGAGGTCTGTAGTTCAGTTAAAGAGCTCTGTACTCAACGTAATTTCCTGGTTTCCATATTTGTACTATGGCTCTGAAGGCGTTGACGAGATAGGAAGCCCAAAGAAGGAGATATGAGAACTCTGTGCTATTTTTTCAACTTTTCTTTCTTTTTTTTTTTTTTGAGACAGAGTCTTACTCTTGTTGCCCAGGCTGGAGTGCAATGGCACGATCTTGGCTCACTGCAACCTCCGCCTCCTGGGTTCAGGATTCTCCTGCCTCAGCCACCCAAGTAGCTGGAATTACAGGCATGCACCACCACACCCGGCTAATTTTGTATTTTTAGTAGAGACGGTGTTTCACCATCTTGGCCACGCTGGTCTTGAACACCTGACTTCGTGATCCACCTGCCTCGGCCTCCCAAAGTGCTGGGATTACAGGTGTGAGCCATCGTGCCCAGCTGACAAAATTGTTCTTATTCAACTTCCCTAAGTCTGTCATTTTTACTTTTTCTGTATAACTGAATGCTAAGCACCTCTTAGGTCGTCAACCTAGAATGCGGCTGCTTGTTACTGATTTGCAACAGTATTTCTCAGTTATAAACTACAGAATAAATCAGTGTGCACACCAGAAACCAGGGCAAGGATAAGGCAGAAAGAAAACATCCTAGTGGTCTTCTGCAAGACAGAAGGGATGAGCAAAATTGCCCACCATGCACATCAGGGCTGAGACAAGACCAGAGGTGTGTGTGGCTGCCGCAGCTCTAAACACACATAGGAAGTGGTTTTTTTTGGTAACAGAGTTTCACTGTTGTTGCCCAGGCTAGAGTGCAGTGGCATCATCTCGGCTAACCTTCGTCTCCCAGGTTCAAGTGATTCTCCTGCCTTAGCCCCCCAAGTAGCTGGGATTACAGGCATGTGTCACCACGCTTGGCTAATTTTTGTATTTTTAATAGAGACAGGGTTTCTCCATGTTGGTTAGGCTGGTCTCGAATCCGACCTCAGGTGATCTGCCCGCCTTGGCCTCCGAAAGTGCTGGGATTACAGGCATGAGCCACTGTGCTCGGCCAGGAAGTGTCTTCTAAACAGCCTACCTGTCTTTTCCTTGATCTCACAGAGCACGCTGAACAGAGCAGGCTTCATCCGATGGCAATTCAGAGCATGCTTTCTGAAAGGGAGGTGACAGAGGAGGGTGTGAGAAAAGAACAGTCATCATTTTATCCCCAAGAGTAAAGATCTTCCATATTGAGAAATCAAAGCAAACGAGGTCTGCCACTCTGATTGTAGATAAGCTGCCTTACGAAAATGCAGTACAATCACATTTCATGAATTTGATTTGCACAAAATCAACATAAAGGCCAGGCGTGGTGGCTCACGCCTGTAATCCCAGCACTTTGGGAGGTTGAGGCGGGCAGATCACTTGAGGTCAGGAGTTTGAGACCAGCCTGGACAACATGGTAAAACGCTGTCTCTAGTAAAAATACAAAAATTGGCTGGGCACGGTGGCTCAAGCCTATAATCCCAGAACTTTGGGAGGCCAAGGTGGGCTGATTGCCTGAGGTCAGGAGTTCGAGAACAGGCTGGCCATCATGGTGAAACCCTGTCTCTACTAAAAATACAAAAATTAGTCAGGCGTGGTGGTGCACACCTGTAATTCCAGTTACTCAGGAGGCTGAGGCAGAAGAACTGCTTGAACCCGGGAGGCAGTGGTTGCAGTGAGCCGAGATCGTGCCATTGTACTCTAGCCTGAGTGACAGAGTGAGACTCCATCTCAAAAAAAAAAAAAATTAGCCGGGCATGGTGTCATGTACCTGTAATCCCAGCTACTCAGGTGAGTGAGGAGAACAGCTTAAACCTGGGAGGCAGAGGTTGTAGTGAGCCAAGATTGTGCCACTGCACTCCAGCCTAGGCAATAGAGTAAGACTCTGTCTCAACAACAATAATAATAATAATATAAAGCAATATACAAATATTCAAAACATTTCCCATTATATGTTAAAGATTAAGCAATGCAAATAACTCATCAAAAACTATTGCAAGGCATTAGTGGCTCATGTCTGTAATCCCAACAGTTTGGGAGGCCAAGGCAGGAGGATCACTTGAGCCCAGAAATTTAAGATCGGCCTGGGCAACATGGTGAGACCCACTCTCTTCAAAAATTTGAAAATTAGCTGGGCATGGTGGTATACCTGTAGTCCCAGTCCCTCGGGAGGCTGAGACAGGAGGATGGCTTCAGCCCATGAGTTAGCGGCTGTAGTGAGCTATGAACACGCCACTGTACTCCAGCCAGCATAAGAGACCTTGTCATTAAGACGAAAGAAAAAAAAGAAAAAAGAAAAAGGCTGGAGGCAGTGGCTCATGCCTGTAATCCCAGCGCTTTGGGAGGCCGAGGCAGATGGATTGCCTGAGGTCAGGAGTTTGAGACTAGCCTGGCCAACGTGATGAAACCCCATCTCTACTAAAAATACAAAAAAGCTGGGCGTGTTGGTGCACCCCTGTAATCCCAGCTACTCGGGAGGTTGAGACAGGAGAATTGCTTGAACCAGGGAAGCAGAGGTTGCAGTGAGCCGAGATCGCGCCACTGAACTCCAGCCTGGGCGACAGAGTGAGCCTCCGTCTCAAAAAAAAAAGCAAAGAAAAAGAAAAGAACTATGAAATGTCAAGATCCAATGACTTGAAATCTGTGTTCACGCTATGGTCCTGCAGTGGCCTATCCTGGTGCATAAGCAAAAGCACCAATCATCTTCTTCCAGTGTCACTTGGCAGGTGTTTACTGAGTACCTACTATGTGCCACACACCATTCTGACATCAGAGACACAGACAGTTGAGGTTTTTACACATGTGGCGGTTAAGATGGAGGGAGTGAGACACCAAAAATACACACCAACAAGAAACCCATCAGCCGTGGCAGTTGCTTTGGGGCGACTGGGGTCACATGACAGTGATGGTTAGAAGGCTTTTTGGAATTTCCATGTCTCTGAGGTGATATCAAAGCTGAGATCAGAATGAGAAGGAGAAATCAACCAAGAAAAGGGCTGGAGAGAGGTATGGTTTAGGCAGAAGAAACAGCCACGCACAAAGGCCCTGTGGGAACACACTGGGTTCAGTACTGGCTATTTGAGACCAGGGTGCTGAGCGTTAGGAGTGAGGGAGAGAGCTAGAGTGGCAAGTGGAGATTGACTCTAAGGGCCTCGAAAGTCATGGGGACAACTCTAGTTTTTGCTTGCTTGGGATGGGAACTGTGGTTGGCAGGATAATGGCTCCCAAAAGGGTCCACATGCTAATCCTCAGAACCCTAAATATGGTACTTTACAAAACATGGGAAAAATAATTCTGCCAATGTAATTAAAGTTAAGGACCCCGAGATGGAGAGATTAACCTGGATTATCTGGGTGGGCCTACTGTCATCACATGACCCTTAAAAGTAGAGAACCCCTGTAATCCCAGCACTTTGGGAGGCCGAGATGGGTGGATCACGAGGTCAGGAGATCGAGACCATCCTGACTAACACGGTGAAACCCCGTCTCTACTAAAAAATACAAAAAACTATCCGGGTGAGGTGGCGGGCACCTGTAGTCCCAGCTACTCGGGAGGCTGAGGCAGGAGAATGGCGTAAACCCGACAGGCGGAGCTTGCAGTGAGCTGAGATCCGGCCACTGCACCCCAGCCTAGGTGACAGAGCGAGACTCCGTCTCAAGGGAAAAAAAAAAAAAAAGTACAGAACCTTTCCCAGATGTGGACAGAGAAAGTCTTGATGATGTAAGGGTTGGAGAGATGCTATGTTGCTGGCCTTTATCATGGAGGAGGGGACCATGAGCAAAGAATGCAGGTGGCCTCAACGGGCTGGAAAAGGCAAGGAACCAGTCCAAGGGCTCAATGGGCAACACCTTGATTTTAGCCCAGAGTGCCCATGTTGGCTTTCTGACCTACAGAAACGTAAAATCGGTGGCTCATGCCTATAATTGCAGCACTTGGGGAGGCCGAGGCAGGCAGATGGCTGAGGTCAGGAGTTTGAGACCAGCCTGGGCAACATGGCAAGACAATGAGCTGGGACAAGAGGCACACACCAACACGCCTGGCTACATTTTGTATTTGTTGTAGAGATGGGGTCTCATTATGTTGCCCAGACTGCGCTCGGTCAAGAGAAGAATTTCATGGAGAGAAGAGTAACCTGTGAGAAATGCTGCTGAGAGATCAAGCAGAATAAGAACCCAGAAGAGAATCTGAGGCTGGGCGTGGTAGCTCACGCCTGTAATCCCAGCACTATGGGAGGCTGAGATGGGAGGATCGCCTGAGCTCAGGAGTACAAGACCAGTCTGGGCAACACAGCAAGAACCTGTCTCTAAAAAATAAATATATAAATGAATAAAGAGAATTCGGATTTAGTAACATGAAGGTCATAGGTAGCTCTGCAGCGGGGAAACAAGGTTGGAAGAGAATGTGGAGGTGAAGAGGAAGCGGAAGCAGCAATCACAAAGTCTTTGATGTTTATCATAAGGGAGATCAAACAAACATAACAGGTGCCAAAAGACAGGGTGTGTGTTAATCATGCTTTCTTCTTTTTCTTTTTGAGACAGGGTCTCGCTCTGTTGCCCAGGCTGGACTGCAGTGGCCATGTTGTGCCCGAACACAAGCAATCCTCCCGCCTCAGCCTCCTGAGTAGCTGGGACTACAAGTGGTGCTATCACGCCTGGCTAATTTTTAAGAAATGTTTTTGCAGAGCTGAAGTCTCACTATATTGCCCAGGCTGTTCTTGAACTCCTAGACTCAAGAGATCCTCCCGCTTTGGCCCCTCAAAGTATTGGGATTATAGGCATGAGCCTGGACTATTAATTACGTTTTTTTTGTCTTGCTTTGACATTCTGGGGCTTGGAGAGACTGTCTTCCCCAGGACTAGCTTATTACTACAGACAGCAAACAACTTGCCAAAGAACATGCCATTCATATGCAAATCAACCAATCAAAAGCCCACATTCCCACTCATCTTCTTCATTTAATGCCGACACACAAAGCCAATAATTTCCCAGCCCTAAATCACCCCAGGGCCAGGTACTGACCAACTAGAGACCACTCTGGCGCAGAGCCTGCCAAAATTATTTCAACTATCTAACCTAAGCTTGCTCAAACTTGCCTGCCATGCCATGCCCGTTCCTTCCTGTGGAAATCACTATAAAAGTTCTGGGCCGTGTTTTCCCTCCCTCCACTGTCGCCCACTGACCCATGTGCTTCCCCATGTGGCCCTGCATGGCACGGTGTGCCCCCTCCTCTGGAGCTGTAAGTAATAAACTTCCCTTTCAACAGAGCAGTTGTCTCCATGCTTGTCATCTTACCATTCCTCATTAAAACAAATCCCGGGTACAAAGCAAGGCCAAGCGGTAAGTCAAAGGAGGTTTTTTTCCTTTTTTCTTTTCTTTTTTTTTTTAAGACAGACTTTTACTCTATCGCTCAGGCTGGAGTGCAGTGGTGCAATCATGGCTCACTGCAACCTCCACCTCGTGGCTTCAGGTGATTCCCCTGCCTCGACCTCCAGAGCAGCTGGGATTACAGGCGCCTGCCACCACACACAACAAATTTTTGTATTTTTAGTAGAGACGGGGTTTTGACATGTCGGCCAGGCTGGTCTTGAATTCCTGGCTTCAAATGATACACCGGCCTCAGCCTCCCAAAGTGCCGGGATTATAGACGTAAGCCACCATGCCCAGCCTGTTGTCTTTGACTGTTCTTAAAGATAGGAGGTACTAGCACATGTTTATATGCCAAAAAGCCAGTCTAGAGAGAGAATTTGATAATGCAAGGATAGGGTAACTGGCCAGGCAAAGTGGCTCATGCCTGTAATCCCAGCATTTTGGGAGACTGATGTGGGCAGATCACTTGAAGTCAGGAGTTCAAGACCAGCCTGGCCAACATAGTGAGACAAGGTCTCTGCTAAAAATACAAAAATTAGCCAGGTGTGATGGAGTGTGCCTGTAATCCCAGCTACTCAGGAGGATGAAGCAGGATAATTTGCTTGAACCCAGGGGGTGGAGGTTGCAGAGAGCTGAGATCACGACACTGCATCTCAGCAAGTGAGACTCAGTCTCAAAAAAAAAAAAAAAGAATAGGGTAACTGGTATGCGCGTGTAGCAGAAGTTCTGTGAACAACTTTGATGAGTACTATCCTATTAACA